ATCGACGTCGATCGCGAGGCGCGTGTCCCGGCCGAGCAGGGAGTCCCGGAACACGAGGACGTGCCTGAGGTTTATCCAGGCACTGGGGAGAGGATGGAGGACTTTTTGAGGCGAGCGGCCAAGGGACATGTAGGGGAGGGTTCTTCCAAGAGGAAGGAAGGTGGAACAGATCCGGTCGCCGCCCCAGGTGGGAAGAGGCTTCGCCAGCAGAAGGTCACTGACGTCTACAGTGGCGAGTGGGTTGCTCGCTACAAGAAGACATTCCTTCGCTGGCTCTATTCCAGCGGGGTCCCCTTCAATGCCTTCCGCAACCAGCCTTGGAAGGCATACCAGCAGGTCCTTCTTGAGCAGCCTGGCAGTTCCCCTCGCACTGTGCTCCCCAGCCACAGCGAGATTGCGAGTATGCAGACGGTGGAGACCCATTGTGAGGAGCTGGCGGAGGAGTTGGAGGAGGTGAGGCAGCCATTCTGGATCACTGGTGCCACCCTCCTCTCCGACGGGAGGAAATCACGAGACGGGAGACCGATCATGAATTTCCTTGCCGCCGGCTCGCGAGGGGTCATCGTCTATACGACGATCAATCGCGAGGGCGAGCTGGACGATGAAGTGCACGTCCTTTGGAGATGGGTGACCATCTTCCACGAGTTTAGTTTCGGCGGCCCGCAGCGGGTCAATGCGATATGCACAGACTCCGCATCGGCGTACGTGGGGGCTGCGAGGGCATTGGCCTCGTCGGGCATCCCTCCTGCAATCAGGAGGATCACTTGGCTTCCGTGTTCCGTTCATGTCTGCAACAAATTGTTGTCAGACATGGGGACGAGTTGCGACGCGTTTGTGGACGCGATTACACGCGCTCGTGTTCTGGAGGTGTTTTTCAAAACCCACCAGGCCGCCCATTATTTCTTTAGGAAGCGCAGCCCCAACAAGGGGCTTGTGCTTTCTTGCGAGACGCGGTTCGCGTCTGTTTATTCTATGTTGGAGAGACTGTTGGCCCTGCAGGACACTGTGCAGGCGATGATGCGAGGGGATGACGGGCGGGAGTTTGCTTCTATACCGTGGTCCGCCGATGTGTGCGACATGGCGCGTTGGGTGCGCCGGCAGATCATATGGGAGCCTTGGTGGCACACGATGGCCACCATAGTCCACATCATGCAGCCCGTCATGGAGCTGCTTAGGCGGATGGATCGTGGGGGGCAGTACATGTCCCTCATGATCGAGTGGATACAGGATCTTGTCCGCCGTGTCACTGATGCATGCGCTCCTTTGGGGAGGGTTTTCACTGACCGCATCATCAGGCGTGTGCAGGCTCGCACACAGCACATGCTGGAGCCTGCTCACTGCGCGGGGTTCTTACTGAACCCCCGCAGGCGACATGTTGAGTACTTTTCGGGCGAGGTAAGGGACTACCCTCGTTGGCTTGTAAGGCAAGCCAAGAGGTACATTTTGACGCAGACGGGTTACGAGGAGGATGGTGTGGAGTACATCAATGCATGTCGGCAGTTTGAGGACTTTCACATGCAGCAGGGCACATTTGGGGATTGGAGAGGGGGGGAGGGGCTTGCTCGTGGGCGTGCTTGCAGTGGCGACAGGGAGACGATTGAGTGCGCGTCCTGGTGGTCTCAGTACGGGTCTGGCGCGCCTGAGTTGCAGCGCTGCGCTCTTCGTGTGATGCACATGTGGTCTTGCGCCTCTCCAGTGGAGAGGAACTGGGCAGTCCACGAGGGCATTCACATGAAGAAGCGCAACCAGTTGGCCTTTGAGAAGGTCGTTCAGCTCGTTGAGATCACCGCGAATGTGCGGTTGTCGGAGTATCGGCGAGCTGGGTGCAGTTATGTGCTGCCATGGCAGCGGGACGAGGGCATGCTAGACTGCCAGGCCGGACTGGAGTTGAAGCCAGTGCGCACGGGCACGCGCAGGGGGATGACGCCGGAGGAGATTGCCCGTCAGGTTGCGCTTATCACCCAGGATCCCATCGGGGTCTCCGCACCACCCGCCGCTGAGGCCGTATTCGGTAGACGTGCTTCCATTTTCCGTCCTTACCCCAGGGAGGATGATTCCGACGAGGAGCCGGTACCCGAGGCAGCGGACCACCCCGCGCTCCGCATTCCCCGTGAGATCGACGAGACGCACCTGGATCCCGAGGAGGACACCAGGGCACATACTGCACGACGGGACGCTGACAGGGCGGAGAGGGAGATGATGGGGGGAGAGGAGGAGTTGTGGGGACCGTTCGGGGAGGTCGCTTCGACGGGCGGTACAGGAGCGCGGGCGACGAGCCCCGCTCCAACGAGGCAGGAGTCGTCCATGCCGCCACCTTCTGCTCCGAGTCCTGCACCGCCATCGCCCGTCGCGCCATATGAGCCGACCACAGCAGCAGAGCACACGGAGGAGTTGGCGTCCTCTTTGCCTCAGCGCGGACTACTCCATAGAGGCGGGGCAGTCCGACAGCTGAGGTTACGATCACCTTCTCCGGGGGTCTTGCAGGAGGAGGGGGGACCGTCGGCAGCAGCAGTGGAGGGGGAGATGGCAGTGGAGGGGGGATTGGCGGACACGACGATTGCAGGTGTGGTGGACCAGATAGCTGTAGCAGCAGCGGCTTCATTGCTAGAGAAGATGGCAGCTTCAGTGTTGGCGGAGGAGGCACCAGCGCCAGGGGGAGCAGATGCAGTGGAGGGGCAGGCGGGAGCAATTGGAGGAGCAGCGGGAGGAGCAGCTGGAGGAGCAGCTGCACTGGATGGGCTTGTGGCTGCAGCAGCAGAAGCAGTTGGAGGAGCGGATGCAGTGGAGGGGGGAATGCCAGGAGCAGTGGAGGAGGAGATAGGGGCACAGGCGGAGGTGTCGCGTGAGGGCGGCGACGAGCGCCTCATGCAGCAGTTCCTCACGGAGCAGTACGATCCGGTCATGGCGGGTATGACCCCAGGTGTGGCGAGGGGGTTGGGGATGTCGGATTCGCAGATGGGGAGCCACCTAGACTTAGATTTGTCGATGGGTCTTCCACCTAGTTGCGGCGGGGCGACATCGACGGATCGCGCTCCATCGAGGGACGACGTGGCTGGAGAGAGTCTCACGCAGCCTCAGAGAGTGACGACGACTGGGTATCCGGATGCGGCACGCGACATCCTAGAGCGAGAGAGGGATCGACTTATGGCATCGACTAACCCGCGTGCTCAGGCATTCGCACGGGCATTGGAGGACGCGAGGCGTCGAGAGACAGGGGG